ATCCGAACCAATCATGCGCTTGCCCGTCCAGGGTGGCGAAGAACCCCCTAAATAGGATGGCGTCTGTTGCCTCGGTGATCATCATGGCGGCCCTGTACCTGGTCATGTGTGCCCGCGGTTCCGTGGTCCCCAAGTACGCTTTAATGGTGGGAAAGCGAAAATCTCGAGGTAAGGGCTCCTCCATGATGGCGTTTACGAACGGGGAGGACAACATATCCTGGGGCTCTGGAGATCCGTCCCTCTCATCGATCTTCTTCTGGAGCTCGTCCATCCTCCTCCGCAGCTGCTTGACCTCTACCCGATGGGAGCTCGGAGCTCTACCATTCGTTTCACCCGATCGTTCGACCCGGGAGGCCTGCTCACGTCGCGGGTGGGGTCGGGGGACCCGCCCTGCGGACCCACGCAAAGCTGCCCCGTGTCGCGGCTGGGCGCGTGGCCCATGGCTCGGTGACCTCCGAGTGGCCGATTCTTGTCGCAGTGGCCGGCGGGAGCATGATTCCTCCGCCGGTGGCCCGTTTGCTGGCCTCGGACCCAGCCTGTCTCGGGCCGACACGTGATCGCCCAACCTCTCCAGGGCGGACCTGGTTTGGGTTGGTGCCCTTCCATCGCCGTCGCGCTGGCGGCCTCGGCGGGAGTCCCCTCCTCCCCGCCTCTCCGATGGTCGAGGCGAGTTGACCTCCCCCTGGGTGATAGGTGCCTGGGGTGGCCGGGTGCTTGGACCGCTGCGCCCCCGGGTGGGAAGAGGTGGAGGTGACGCTGGCGCCCCTCGGGTGGCGCCTAGGTCGGCTTGTTCCTCTGCCCGAAGGCCCGCCGCGACGCGCGCCAGCGCCGTGGAGGCTTGTTCAAAGACCGCCACCCCCTCCTGGATGATTGCGCGAGCCGGAGCGGGGGCGACAAGGGGTGGTGACGGTGCCCCACTGCCACGGTGGTTGGTGAGCTGGGTCCTCAGATCCTCCCCCGACCTGGTGGAGGCGGCCGGTTGGATGCTGGGGGCGGGGGCCCCGTTGGGACCGTTCCCGTTCGCGACGAGTTGGGTGCCGCGAGAACCGTTGGCTGGCCTCGGACCCAGCCTGTCCCGGGCCGACACGTGATCGCCCAACCTCTCCAGGGTGGGCCTGGTTTGGGTTGGTGCCCTTCCATCGCCGTCGCGCTGGCAGCCTCGGCGGGAGTCCCCTCCTCCCCGCCTCTCCGATGGTCGAGGCGAGTTGACCTCCCCCTGGGTGATAGGTGCTTGGGGTGGCCGGGTGCTTGGACCGCTGCGCCCCCGGGTGGGGGGAGGTGGAGGTGACGCCGGCGCCACTCGGGTGGCGCCTAGGTCGGCTTGTTCCTCTGCCCGAAGGCCCGCCGCGACGCGCGCCAGCGCCATGGAGGCTTGTTCGAAGACCGCCACCCCCTCCTGGATGAGCGCGCGAGCCGGAGCGGGGGCGACAAGGGGTGGTTGCGATGCACCACTGCTACGGTGGTTGGTGAGCTGGGCCCTCAGATCCTCCCCCGACCTGGTGGAGGCGGCCGGTTGGATGCTGGGGGCGGGGGCCCCGTTGGGGCCGTTCCCGTTCGCGACGCGGGAACCATTGGTATGACGAGAGCTGGATCTCGATCGTGTCATCGCTATGGATGAACAATAGTGGGGAGAGCGCTTAAGCTTGTACAGCAGCTCTCAACAAGAGCACCAATGATGGATTTAATTAAACCGGGGGTCCGACTTAACTAACCCGAATAAGGATACGAATAATGAATAAATGATACGAATGATATAGTAAAGGCCGTGAGACCGTAGATTGTATTAAATGCCGTAGGATTGGCTATTACAATAGTATTTTAGGACAAAGTAGGTAGGAAATGTAGATCGTAGATAGCATGTCCCTTGTCAGGACAAGGAGGGGGGCTTTTATACATGCCAAGCCCCCAACCGCCTCCCCCTAAAATGGGGGATTAGTTGGATCTGGAGTTGACCGCGCCCGGTCTTGCGACCGGGCCGCACTGCGAGGACCAGGCCGAGCTCATCATGGGCCCAGGCCGAGCCCCTGTGGAGGTCGGCCCGGCCTCCTGGAGAGGCAGGCCCGGCCTCCAACGTGGCCCGTGCGGGGGCCACGTGGCGCCGCCCCGGGACTCGTTCTTGCTTCGCACCCTCGGGCCGATTCCCAATATATCCGTCACACACACACGCCAATAATAGGCCTTGAAAAATAAACACAAAATTGTTTATCAAAAATAAAATTAGCATTCAATGAGGATAGCACGAGGACAATAAGAAATGAGATCCCATCTATTGCTTTCATCAATAGTCATGACAGAGGCATCTTAGCTTGTATGAAATAATTTTATATATGGGGAAGCTAAGGGTGCTGGTGGTTGGCAGGAAATAAAGATATTGAACATATTATTTATTTGAATTATGATACTACTAAAAAAATTAAAAAAAAAAATCGATAGGTAGCTAAAATATAGCAGTAGAAGTATAATATTAAAAATAAAAATTATATATTAATTATATAAGAGCATAATGAAGATATTATATTCTTAGTTTTATTTAATTAATTTTAAAAAATCTAATAAAAATCTCAATAGACTTAACCATCTAACAACCTTATCACAAAGCTTCCTCAACAATAAGAATATGTCTTATCATAAATTAATATCTCATAAACATATGCAACAATTCAAAGACTCAAACCCATGTTACTCGTGTAGATTAAATGATTTGTTTCAATAACTTAGCTATCAAACTTTGATTCTATATGCAAGCAGCAAAATAGAAAAAAAAAAAAAAAATTATCTTATAAAAGCGTTTCCAAAAAATTAAATTATAAACTTATAGATTTTTAAACGAATTGATACTACATAGACCTTGTTTGATAACATAATTAATTTATCAGTCAATTTTGGCTTAATTGATCACTATTAACTGTTTGACTTGGTTAAACAGTCAATATGAGTGTTTGGTTAATTAACTTTTAACAACTCATTATTACAAAACGCTAAAATGCAAAAAAACTGCTTTTAGCAACTTTTTCAATCAACTTTTTGAGAAATTCATTTTTGTATATAATCAGTCATCAGCTAACAACTAATTTACGAAATATCTTTCTACAATTAGCTAATACTATCAACTAGTACGTCAAACTTACTAACCCAATCAGCTATCAACTAACAACTATTTATCAAACAGCCTATAAAATAAGATGGAGAGATGATACACATCTTAATTTGTAATTAGGCCAAATTGTTTGAGGTACGGATCGGAGGTAATCCTTTCAATATTTCATCATTCATTTTGTGCAATTGGAATTTATAACCGCATAATACCATGTTGAACGTATAATATATATAAAATATAAATGTATAATTTAATTATTAATTTAAACTTTTTATTGAATCATACTCATACGTAAGGGCATAAGTTTAAACTTTCGTCTCAGTCGAGTGTCCACGTATTGGTCAAGAAAGAAATATATCTTTTAGCCCGCATGGACAGCTCAGGTTATAGAGGTGAAGTTTGGAAAGTATGATCAAGGACGCCTCACCAGGGCAGTGTGAGAGCAACCTCTCAAAGTGAGGGGCTCCTTGTGCGCAGTAAGCAAAGGTCTAGCCTGGTTCATGTTCAGTTGAGTTACTATGATTTATATCTTCCAGATGCTCTGCCGGGATGTGGGGGCCCTTAGGGTTAGGTTCAATTCAACCTTTGTGGAAAGTAAGAAATACATCTTTTAATTCCAAATAATTGAACTTTATAAATTTTTAACTCATTATCTCTTAATACATATAAGACAATATTACATGAATAAAAAAATTGCTAAATTTTTATCATTTGATCCAATTGTAATTTATTAATTTATGAATAATTAATACTCGTAGAATATAAATAATTGTTACAGATTTGATAAAATATTTAATAATATTATTATTCAAATATTTTTTTTTTGTTCATAAAGATATTGTTTATAAACGAAATTTATTGTATTGGGACAAATCATTTGATGTGATAGTCAGATGGAGGAACATTTAAGCGGCGATGTCCTTGTCCTTCTTGGCAGGGCAAATGGTCTTTAATACTTGATAAATAAGTGTCACATATTGCATATATAAAACTCCTAAGATTTATTATTAAAATAATTATGTCAATTTTTATCTATAGATATATATACACTTATAAATATAAACATTTGTGTACAATCGTATCAGATTGATTTTCAATTAATTATCCATACTGATTATAGTTTTAGGGTCGGTTCCAGTTACGGATCTTTTGCCTAATTTGCTTGTTGGTTTAAGTTGTAGAGTTCGGAATACTTTGTAGTGGGTCAGAGGTTCCCGAGTTAATAGAAATAACTAAAAGTCCACTCCCCTCAGCAATAAATGTGGTATTTATAAGAAAGAGGATGGAACATGTTCCGGTCTCGCGGCATGTACGGCATGTGGAACCCATGCAGAGGCTCAGGCCGGGGCCTAAGAGGGCTTGGCCACATGCTATGATATTCCTGAAGGCACTGCATTCTGCTGCTGGAATGGGGTCAGTAGGTTAGTCTTAACCTAAATAGGTCGGGGCGCAAATATCATAAAGGTGCATGTGTATGCTGCCTTTAACGGAATTCGACAAGTGAGACGGTCGAGAGTGTGTGAGCACAAGGTCGGCATGGTCGGACCGACATCACATACATTCATAAGCTCAATGTTGACACAACTTTAGTCCATTACTTGCTGAATAAACAAACTTGTGTAGAATGTACAATAATAACATGCGCCCTGATGAGCGAGTTCATAAAGAGATTTTAACTCAAGTAACGAGCCGATTAGCCGAATATGTTTGGATATATAAAATTGTGAATTTTTTTAATTTTCTAAAGTTGAATCAACCAACAAAAGTACACCACAGAATACCATGTAATTTCCATACAAACTTATGGTTCAATAGCCAGTATTTGGGAGAAGAAGAGTAACATTAAATCAACAAAGTAGAAAGGAAGAATGAATTAAAGAAATGAAGAGCAAGGACAAAATGGTCATTTCTTACCACTCTTCTTGTCTTTTCCGTTACGGAACAGAGATCCCAACCCAAAGAGATTAACAGTTGCGACGGAGATACAATTGGGAGGCGTCACATTAATCACCGGACTAATCCTAACGCCGTTACCGTAATTAACCCCTCCGTGGTTCTTCCTTAACGGAGGCTTTTGCGACGACGGGAATCCGTAAACATAAGCCGACGAAAATGAAGAAGAAGAAGAATGAGTAGTTTTGATATGCCTAAACTGCCCCCCTTTGGGCCCTTCCTTCGCCGATTGCTTTGAATTTCTCAGGGAACCGGTAGAATTGCTCCGTGACAGTAACGGTAACGACCAAAACGAACCTTTTTTGTGACAGTTCAAACTGCTGCTTCTCTTTATACCCCAGAAAGGCCTTGCCTGGGTACTCTTCTGCTGCTCTGTTGACTCCTTCGAGATTTCTTGCTTCTGGGAAGACGAGATTTTCGGGAGAGGTGGGAACGAAGAAGAAGAACCCAAAGGTCGAGGCTTTGATGTTGTTGTTATGAAAGAGAGGTGTTTAGAATTAGTGACGAATTTCTCTCTGAAGGGGAGGATGAAACCGTCGGAAAAGAGCTCATCTGCGGAGGAGGTTTGGGCAGGGTGAAAGCAGAAATCGAAATCCGAATTCAAATCCGAATAATATGGGTAGTTTTCTTTCTGGCAAAGGTAATGGGAGAAAGAAATTCTTGGACTGATTGTTGATGGTGAGCTGGGATTTTCTTGGAGCATTTCAACAGCCATGGTTAATGATTGGGAGCTAGGAAGCAGGTAGCTAGGTATTAATAGTGTGAAGAAGAATGGCAGTGTGGAATGGTTTTAAGAAATGGTGAAGTCAAAGAACAGAGCTGGATTGCTGGACAACTATGGTTTGAATTATAGGAAAGAGAGGAAAACAAAGGACAAGAATTGTGGTGCTGATAATCCGGTTTTATATAGAATTTGTTTACCACTATTTTGACCCTTAGCTTCACTCATTCAAGTTTTTTATTTTATTTTATTTTATTTTTTATTTTTATAATTTGGTTAAATAAGAAAAACTTGCTATAGAATGAGTGATGGAGTGAGTGAAATTTGATTTTTGTTTATTGGTCAACAAATTTTACTTTTATCGATGAAAATGTAGAAGATAGAGAAATTACTTTCACATCTTTTACTAGTAATTTTTTGAAATTACATATTCACTGGTTTTATTACACTATTTTACGTTGAGAAAGTGGACTATTTTACTCCAGTATGTACAATTCAGTTAGTTCTTGGGTGCTAGACTGTTAGGTCACCTATTTGATGGGAGTGACTCTTTATGGGCGCCAAACACCGATCCTCCCAAATGGGTCACGAAAATCACATATTCACCTTTCTGATGACATCTGGTCTTCCTAGCTAATAGGTTGTTGAATCACCGTGATTTACTCATTTACAATATTATTGAGTAGGAGTGTGAGGACCCTTAAACTTTATGGCGAGAAATTTTAGCTTTTGTAGACAAGTGAACTCTTTCCGGATGAAAAAGTGAAAGCCAATATTAGGGTGTGTTTGGAAACCTGGAAAATGAGTTCTGGAAATCATTTTTCAAGTTTTCATTGTTTGGATGTGCTTGGAAAATCAAATCAACGGAAATCATTTTCCGTTGACTTTGGAAAATAAGCTTGTTTTGGAGGAAAATGACTTCCCCTTTTTTTGGGGGGAAGTCATTTTCCAACTTTTACACCAACATCACACCACCACCAACATCATCAACACCATACCACCACCACCTCACTACCACCATCACCACCACTACTGCATCACACCACCACCATCACACCACCACCACTACCACCGCCGCCGCCGTCGCCGCCACCACCACCACTGCCGCCGCCACCACCATACCACCGCCACCACCACCACCATCACACCACCGCCGCCGCCACCACACCACCACCATCACATCACCGCCACTACCACCACCATACCACCGCAACCACCGTCGTCGCCACCACCATCATACCACTGCAACCACCGTCGTTGCCACCACCGCCGCCGCCACTACCACCACCATACCACCGCAACCACCGTCGCCGCCACCACCACCATACCACTGCAACCACCGCCACCACCACCACACCACCACCATCACACCTCCACCACCATCACACCACCACCGCCGCCGCCACCATACCACCGCAACCACCGCCACCACCACCACACCACCGCCGCCGCCACCACCATCATACCACCGCCACCACCACTACCACTACACCGCCGCCGCCGCCGCCGCCACCACCATACCACCACCACCACCGCCACACCACCACCATCACACCACCGACGCCGCCACCACCACGACCATACCACCGCAACCATCGTCGTCACCACCACCACCATACCACCGCAACCACCGTCGCCGCCACCGCCACCACCACCACTACCACCGTACCACTGCAACTACCGCCACCACACCATCACCACCACCACCACTGCTACCACCGTCATACCACCACCAGTTATTATTATTATTATTATTATTATTATTATTATTATTATTATGATTATTATTATTATATAACAAATAACACCACTACCACTACACCACCACCACCACCATAATATTTTTGATATATTATTAGTTATTTTTTTAATATATTTAAAATTATTATTATATTATTATACATGTTGTAATATTCTAAATAAAACAATTAAAATGTTTAATTATACAATTCTACTCATTTTCCAGAAAATGAACCAAACACACAAAAGCAGTTTTCCAGAATGCAACCAAACACTGGAAAGGAAATTGTTTTCCGGAAAATGACTCATTTTCCAGAAAACATTTTCCAAAAGTCATTTTCCTGCTTTCCAAACGGACCCTTAATTTTAGGAAATCACAATTGAGGGTTGGAGTGGAGATGGGGAGTGCGGGTGCTAAGAACGAGTTGAAGAGAGATGGTAGAATTTAGTTCAAACATTCAAAGCTCAGCTTATGGTTTCATTTGAACTCCTAATATGAGAAAAAACATTTATACTATACAAAGATTTTTTAAAATATTAAATTGTATATATACTATTGCAAACTACATGATTTTCAATGTGAGATCTAGAGATGAAAATAGATTAGGCTAGACCAAGTTTTAAAAATTAAGTCTGAACCTGTTATGGGAATTTAAAGCCTCAGCCTCGGTCTAAATTTGTAAGGAAATTCTTGTTAGACACAAGTTTGAGCTTACAATAAGCCTGACCTAGCCTAAAGCCTTTTTAAAGGCCTATTTAATATGCATGCCATTAAAAAAAGGTTCTGTTATAGATTTTAAATAAGTTTGAGTCTATTTAAAATTTACACAATATACATTTTATAAGGACTACATATTTTCTTTAAAAAAAATAAGGACTACATATTTGTTGAAATATTAAACATAATATAATATAACAATAATAGACGAATAGTTACAGTCACAAGTCACAACAAGTGTGTAGGTAGCGCCTACAATAGGCGCCCTGAACCTCAATCAATTTTTTTTTTTTACATTAATAACTAAGATACAAACTCAACATCAATCGCCGGTCAATCAAATATCTCACTACATGGCCTCCACTAGTGCTAGTGGGTGCTACTATACAGTACGCAAAGATGAGTTTGCTACTTTGCTAGGATAGAAATAGGGAGAGACGAGAAAGTGCAAAAGTTTAAAATTAAGAATTTATATTTTAGAATGTGATATATATAATTAGTTTTATTTTGTAAATATAAAATATATTAAGTAAAAATAAAATATATAGGCCTAGCCTATTCCGTTAAAATAGGCCTAAATAGGCAAAGCTGTAAGCCCCCTTGATAAGGGTCGTTATATCGTGGACCGCGGCGCATGTGCACTGTGGTCAAAACGACACTATAGTATATCTAAATCGACACTGCCTCACGTATTATTTTTATATTATCAAATGAAACTGCAGTTATATCAAAATGATACTGTAGTTGTGGTGAAATGAAACTGCAGTGTATATAAAATGAAACTGAACAACATTTCACATATTTTGAGTGTATATTGTACAATAAAGCTCTAATTATATCAAAATGATGGTGTAGTTGTGTTTTAATAAAACTATAGTGTATATAAAATAAAATTAAATAACATTTTTCACATATTTGAGTCTATAAATATCGAATGAAACTGTAGTTATATCGAAATGAAATTGTAGTTGTGTTGAACCGAAACTGCAGTGTATACAAAATGAAACTGAATAACAGAGTTACTTTTTCGCGGAAGGGTGCAGAACAACAGAAAACGTATGTCGTTTGTTTTCATTAAACAAAACGACGTAGTTTTGATGCGCGGTGCACGATATAATTTGCCCCTTGATAGTGGTTGACCTATTTCCATCTTTAGTGAGACTAGTGTTATTTTAAAAGCCTTTCTAAACTCCTTATTTCGTAATTCAAATGATGCATTTTGAGAATCAATTTCACATTCAATCATATTCATTTTGAGTGTAATATATCAAATTAAATATTTCACTAAGAACACCACCCCCCCCCCCCCCCGCGGATAAAAAAATCAATATGATCAGCAGATTCAGCACTTTACCCTTTAGTTGGACATGCCAGTGCGAACAAGGATTAATTTGAGTATGGTACATGTTTAAATGTGTCTCCTATAGTTAGGACATACTTATAATACCTCGTGATCTTACAAAAAAAAAAATATTTCACTTAGGATAATTCGAATCTACTTTGACCGGACCAAAATTAAAATGTGACATGACCCAAATTAAAAGTGGACCACAATAAAAACATTGCCTCAAAGGCTCAAAATGACCACTTAACATGTCATTTTTACAAATTTCCAACTAATTATAATTAGGACTATTTTTATTTTGTTTTTTTTTTTTTGGTGCATCGTATGATTCACGCAATTCATGAATATTTATTTTATGAGTTAGTTCAAATTAGAACAACCATTCGTGTAAAATAGGGATGATTGATTATAGCCGTCCATCAAGGTTTATCAATGGTTGAAGGTTTAAGTAAAAAAAAAAAAAACACATTCAATTTTATAATTATTGCAAACATTTAAGTTTGTAAAATTTATAAAAGTAACCATGTCCTTTTTTTCTCTATCTATTTTTCAGCAACTCTCAACTTTTGATATACCTAAATGGACGAAGCAATTCAATCATTACTTTTTACATGGGAATTTATTCTCACATAAACTCTCCCCTATGTGTGTGTGTGAGCTGGGGAGGGGGGGGGGGGGGGCTCAAATGACAACAATCTTTCCTGTAAAAAGTGAAAAATAATCTCAGCCACCCAATAAGATTCATCAATAATTGAGAATATTAGTTTAAAAAAAATACAAGGTTAATTTTATAATTATTATAAACTTTCAAATATACAATATATATTTACAAAACTAACATTGTCATTTTCCCCTTACTTTTTATCAAGCGTGGATTAAATGGGACATATACCCTCCCAAATATAACAGATTAAATGGGGCAGATCACCCTACTTTTCACCTTGTACATTGTATTTTTTTCCTCCGCTCTCAGTGAGAACTTAGAATTTTGTAGTTAACAAACTAATTGTTCAATCACTTTTTTTAATTTTAATTTTAATTTATTATTATTATTATTATTATTATTTTTTTGGGTGTGTGTGTGGGGGGTGGGGGAGGAGGGGGAGGAGTGTCTCGTAGTCTCCAGCCAAGTTTGACTAATTGTTATAATAGCATGTGAGTCTCTCGTTCTTAAGCTACTCATTAACGACT